ACAAATACTCTTAAAACTATTAATACTAAGTGATTACAGCAAAGTTGTAGATTGAGGGTTAAAACACAAAAGTCAAACACTTCTCTATATACCAGCAATTAATGAGTTAAAAATACAACATCATTTCTATTTACCACTACCAAAAATAAATAGTTCTGTGTAAATGAAAAAGAGTGCACAAGAAAAACAAACAAAAATGCTAATGAAAAATTCAAAGAATAAATGAATTCAGAAAGACTTAATATTCATGGATAGAATGATTCGGTACTGTCAAGACGTCAGTTTTCCAATTTATCTTTTGATTCAAGACAACCCCCGTCAAAATCTCAGCAAATTATTTATCAATATTGACAAACTGATTATATTATATAAAGAGGCAAGAGATCCCCAAAACACAATACTTAAGTAGAACAAATGACACTCTAAGACTCACTACAAAGCTATAGTGATCAAGACGAAACAGAACTGCCAAGAAAAAAGGTAGATCAATGGAATGGAATAGACAGCCAAGAAACAGACAGACATGAATACGATCAACTGCAATTTCCAACAGATGGTGTTGAAACAGCTGGACATCCACATGGGAAAAAAAGGAACCTGAACACAGATTTTATACCTTCAGGAAAATTAATTCAAATTGGACTGTATTACCTGAATATAAAACATAAAACTAAAAAACTTTTAGAAAATCACTTAGAAAACCTAGATGACATTAGGGATGATGATGATTTTCTTAGATACAATAAAAACATAATCCATGAAAGAAATATGTTATAACCTACAGTTCTTTAATATTAAAGACATGATCTGCAAAAGTTAATGCCAAAAGAACGAGAAGACAAGTCACAGACTGGGAAAAAATCTTTGGCAAAAGTCACATGTGATAAAGGACTTACTAAAAATGTACAAAGAACTCAAAATTCAACAATAAGAAAATGAACTAGGTTAAAAATATAAGGCAAAACCTTAATACAAACTTCAGTAAAGAAGATAGAAAGGCGGCAAATAATCATAGGAAAGTTGCTTCTCATCACATGTCATCAGGAACAAGAAAACTAAGACAAGAATGAGATACCATTACACACCTATTAGAATGGCCAAAAGTCTAATACTGATAACACAAACTACTGACAAGGAAGGAACTTTCATTTATTCTTGTAGGAATGCAAAATCATACAGCCACTCTGGAAGACAGTTTGTTGGTTTCTCCAAAAACTAAACATACTCTTACCATAAAATCCAGCAGTGCATTCTTTGGTATTTACCCAGAGAAGTTGAAAACTTACTTAACATATTACCCTGCACATGGATATTTATAGCAGCTTTACTCATCATAAAAATCGGGAAGAATCAAAAAATACTTCAGTAAGTAAATATAAATGTGTAAATAACCTATGGTACATCCAGACAAGGGAGTATTTACTTAGCACTAAAAATAAATTAGCTATCAAGCAATGAAAAGACATGGTGTAATCTTAAATGCATATCACTTAGTGAAATAAGCCAATATAAAAGGGCTACATACTTAGAGTTCTACCCATATGATATTCTGGAGAAAGGAAAACATGAAAGCACAAATATCAGCAGATGCAGGATTTGAGGAGAGGGATGAACAGGCAGAGCACAGAGGATTTTTAGGAGAGTTAAACTACTCTGAATAGTATTATAACAATGTATACATGTCCTTATACTGTGTCCAAACCCACAAAATAAAAAGACCAAGAGTGAATTGTAAGGGAAACCACAGACTTTGGGTGATTATGATGTGGTATTGTAGGTTCGTCAATTACAACAGATGTACCATTCTGATAGGTATGTTGACAATAAAGGAGGCTATGCATGTGTGGGTATATTGGAAACCTCTGTACCATCTTCTCAATTCTGCTATGAACCTAAAACTGCTTTAAAAAATAAAGATAGCAAAATACAAGTTAGGGGGAAAAGTTTCCCTTTGCCCTAAAGAAAGGGGGTGAAGATTTCTTCAATAGGACACAGTGGGGGAAAAAATAGTGAATAGGTTGAGACCAGACTAGCTGAGTAAAAAAATCCAAAGAAAGGAAACAGTAAAAAAAAGAAATTTTTTGCTTTTCACTCCACATGAGGAAGAGTAAGAGAAGAGTGGTTAAACAGAGAGATGATACTCAAATAATAGAAACAATGAGAACTCTGGCATAAACTGGCCAAGCCATGAACCTGAGCTCCACAGTCCATAATCCAGGACCTCATTTGGATTCCTGAGCTCCACAGTCCATAATCCAGGACCTCATTTGGATTCAGTTTCTTTTTATGAAGGAGAATAAAAATTTAATGTCTCTCAACAATTTTACACAACCTTCATAGTTTTGCCTATATTGATAAAAAATAAGTAAACTGGCATTAATTGTAAATAAGCACAAAACATCTTATTTGGATGATGGAAATCTGTACCCAGTTTGTGGTTGCAGTTACACAATTCTGTACATTTACCAAAAATCATGAAATTTCTCACTTAAAACAGGTGAAGTTAACGGCATGTAAATTATAACTCAGAAAAGTTCTTCAAAAGTCTATTTCACCTCTTTTTATGGCACTTCTTCAGATACTCTCTTCCAACAGAAAAAAAAAAAAAAGCCCAAATGCCTCCAAAGAATATCTTTTTTTTTCAACTTACTATAGTTTGGCTTGTCTGATGTCCCTTTTAAAATATGGAACTCAAGATCAATCACATTATTTCCATTCTATACAGAATAATGGGTTACTACTAATCTGTATCGACTTATTTTATTCTGGTCACTGTAGCTTATGACTGTTTAAACAACTACATCACACTGTCTGATTATATAAAACATAAACTTAAATAAAATCCATTAACTTTTTTTACCAGTATAATTGACTGCCAAAGATATTTATTCCCAATCACACAGTATATAACATTTTTTTATTTTTTACTTAAAAATTAATATTAGTAAAAATTTGAAGAAAATAGAAAAGGCAGAGGAAGGACAAAAACCATAGCTGATACAGTATTAATACAATCCCTCAGCTAATAGGCTCTACTGATCTTTCTTTCCTTAGGGCTATAATTATCTAGTTCTACAACTTAAAAATTAACTCCATCTACCTGCTGACAACTCCCCAAATTTTATCTCCAGCCCAGACCTGTCTCACAAAGTCCAAATTCATGTATAATGCAAACAAACACATAGACACACAAGTGCCCATTACATATGCATTGCATGCATATACATCTGTGTATTTTATGCGTCCAAAACCAAATGTTGAACTCTCTCCCTACTATCCCAATAACTGTCTCTACTTCCCAATCCATGGCCTTTCCCATTTCACTTGTCCCTCTAGCCTTCAAGCAGTTATCCATGACTCCTTTTTCACATTCCAGAGCCATTCTGTTAGCAAAATGTATTAATTGTGCCTTCAAATATACATCCAGAATGTAACCAAGTTCTCATCACCCCCACTGTTAACCATCCTGGCCAAGACTTCACCAACACTCACGAGTTTTGCTGGAGAAGCCTCTACACAAGTCTCCCTGTTTCTATCATTGCCTTATTTTCCATTACAGTCTGTTTTCACATTTCTACGTGCTCTTTTCAACCATTAAGGAAGTTGCATAAAAACCCAGCAATGGCTTTGTTTCACTCAGTAAAGGAAAATCCTTTATTTAGGCTATTGTCATCTCTCTGACCTTCTCTCTTGCCATTTTTTCCTTTCATTCACTCACCTCATTAAGTATTCTATATTTTCTAAACATTCTTAATGCATAGGTTTTTTTTTTATTAACAGAAAAGAAAGCTTTTAAACAATAAAACGACAAGAGAGTAATTTCCTTTTTTACTCAAATGCTCTGTAAGCACAGAATTGAATAACAGGGTTAAGTCTTTAGAAGAAAAAACTAAGTTAAGTTCATTGTAGTAACTTGTAAGCCCTTAAATGTCTAAGTTGCTGATGAAAACTTTAATGAGGACAGTCTTCTTAAACTGTATCATGCAGTAGAATGATTTCTGAGTTTGGAATTGAAATATCCTGCTTAAATCTTCTCTCTATTGATAATTGTGAGACTAAGTCACTATTCTTTCTGATTCATAGCTTTCTCATGTATAAAGATGAATAGAAGAATCTGTAAAACTCATCATAAACTCGTGCTTTGCAAGAGAATAAACTTATTTATGGGTACCTATTATTGATCGGGACCTAACAGAAACACATCCAACAAGACTGACTTATTCCCAGGGATGCTACTGAAAATTCTACATTAATCTTCATACACAAAAGGATGCCAAAGAAACAGCCAAAAATACCACAAATGTTAACGGCTTCATTGCATGAGTTTATACAATTTCCAAAAGCCTATTAAGTGATCTCAAAACTGAGAGGGGTGGAGAGGCTCACTCTCAGTAACTGCAAGGGTAAAGAACCCACAAAGCTTCCTGAAGAGAATAAGGTTTTTAAAAGTTCAGAATGTGTATCTGAACACTGGGAATGGGGCAGATGGCGTCAGATGAGGATCCGAGGATTAGGGATTATCTTTCAAGAGTTCCTTGGGAACTGCTTCTGGCTAAAAGAAACCACGCGTTAGAAAGGACGAATCGCCTTGGAGAGAAAGCTACAAGATAGGTTGTAGTTTCGACTTCTCCTTAAACTGGTGAATTCTCGAAATTTCGTCGCCCAAACTGAACCACTTACCGGGTCTAGCGGGCTGCAATGCCTTATGAGTTGGGAACTAGCGGCCCAGACCCGGCACTGTGGGACAAATCTCTAGGTGGCCATTTCCGTTCCGGAGACCGTTACTAAGGAAACGGGGCGAAGCTCTGCGCAGACCCCATCTTGGTTTTTCCTAGGCGGGCCAGAGAGCTTCGGGGGCGTGGTTACGTGAAGGACGCACGCAGGGGGCGGGACAGACGCGAAATCGAACCAAAGACCCGGTCATGTCCCAGGGCGCATGCGTGCGGTGCTTGCCCGCCTCATACCAGGAAGTCCTCGGCGGCCTTGGGTAAGGTGAAACTATGGAAGCTGAAAGTAGACCTGCCGGCGAATCTTTGCAAGAAGCCACCCAGCGAAGGTTGCGGAGGTTTTCAGAGCTTAGAGGTACCAAAGGAGGAACCCTAGCACCTCCCCTACAATGGATAGTAGGAGTTCTTTAAGTGCTGGGATATTTACTGGACTGCCACTTCCTTTTATCACCTGCGGACCTAGGACCCTGGCCCAGGCGGAGCTAATGTTCCTGTTTTTTATTCTACTGTCACTCTGCTTTCCTTCCGTTGTGCTTATTACTTTCCTCTAAGTTTACTTCTTATTGCATATGTGTGAGGAGGATGGAGAAGAAAGACACTTATTGGCCTGACTAGTGAAGCTATAAATACAAGTTAAACATTTGGTTAGTTCATTAACAAAAATTACTTCAAATAAACCTAGAAGATCTAAAGCATAGTGTTTTGACGCTTATAAATACAGTTTTAGCTTTCTTCCAGTCCTTACCTGTTTCACCAATTTGTTCCATAATGTGAACGCTTACTAAGTGAAAAGCCAAACAATATGAAGGAATTATGGACAAAATATTTCAAGGGTTAGAAAATTTTTTAAAATTTATTTTAAAAGACTATACCACTTGCAATTTCTTGTACAACTATCTAATAGGTTATGTTTTTATCGACATTACTGCTTTTTAAAATAACAGAAAATAGTACTTAGGTAACCTTCTCACCATCAGCCAAAAATTCAGTCTGTCTTTTGTTGAGTTCATCAGGGACCTGGGAACTTTTCTGTTATCCGGAATTTGTTATCATTCAACAATAGACTTTGTAAGCTTGCATGATTCAGCTTAAGGTAATTAAAAACTAATGTGCCCATATTTATAAACACCAACATTGTAGCAGTAGATCCTTGGGTTTAATTTTTATTAGCCAACAAACATTAAGTCGTACCCATATGTGAAAATTGATTTTCAAAGCTGGAGATTCATTGATTCCTTTGGCTCCTCTTTTTATTTAAGAATTGAGCCCATCTTTAGCAAGTCAAAAGTACTTCTCTTAATCAAGAAACATTTTAACTCTAAGAATATCTAAGTAAATGAAATGGTAGACCAAAAAAGGAATAAGTGATCTAAAAGAGAGGAAGAAATAGAATTTGTCAACAACCCTTACAAGAGAAAAAGAATTTGTCAACAATCCCTATTAGAACTGTTTTGAATCCTGCTAGCTGGCCACTCATTATTCCCGAATTCTCAAAAGAAGAAGGTACATTTTTGGAGATACTGTTACCTGTTTCATCCTTTTTTCCAAATAGGTAAAACCTGTAACAGCTAGAGAATTCTACTAATATTTATCTTTTCTTTCTTTTTCCACATAGGCAGATCAATGGCAGCTGGAGAATTCTGGGACATTGTTGTAATAACAGCAGCTAATGAAAAACAGGAACTTGCTTATAAGCAACAGCTTTCAGAAAAGCTGAAAAAAAAGGAGTTACCCCTTGGAGTTAAATATCATGTTTTTGCTGATCCTCCTGGAGCCAAAATTGGTATGCGTTTATGGTTAGATTTATATCTTAAGTTGTGGGTAGAATAATCATTGAAAAAAAGTTTTCCTGTGGCTTACAGTTAATGGACTATGTATGTTTCCACCTGTAGTCTTTACAAATATAAAATTTATTATTGTAAATTCACTGTTTTTAAGAAAGGTAAAAGGGATGGCAGATGTTTTTGCACATTGTGGACATACCATGAAAAACTTGCAGAATATTATTCTGTGTTAAAATTTATTAGTCTTAGTAAAATTTATTCTGGTGGTAAACATTCCTTTGAACCTTATCCATAGTTCCCTTAAGTTCCCTCCGAACTCCACAGTTTGTTCAGAAATTAAATGAAGGGAGCAAGTCAGGAAAAATACATACTGCCTCTTGAGACCCACAATGAACAATATGAAAGAGAACAGTCTAATTGCATAAGTATTATAAGATGTTTACTTTTAAAAACAAGTTGTCAGCTTTGCCTTTTGACCTTCCCTTATAAATAAAAATACATGCCATTTTTCTGGGGGCTGTTTTCCATGTGATACTTAAAGCTGAAGCCCCTTGATTACAGAATTAGGGTATTTGTATCTGATATTGGCATGTCCTAATTAGCCGATGTTTTAACCTTTGTAAAATGTGGTCAGTACTTCTGTGATTCTGATGTTTGAATGAGATTTAGGCACAAAATGTAAATAACTTATCCAAAGTAACTAGTAAATGGAAGTTACATTTACTTCCATTTGCAAGTTCTCAGGAAACTTATATGATTTTTAGGAAATCAGGTTCTAAAAAACTTTTTGGAGAGTAAATCTAAGGCACATATTTAATCATATGGGAGAATTATTTTAATGAATTTTATGGTTCTTAAGTCCAAGTGAATGTGCAAGTTTATAGTCTTCTAGTGCCTAATTTATCATTTCTTTCTTTATATTACTATTTTCATGAGAGGATTAACTCAACTTTTATTACCGAGGCCTGATCTCTGGGTTTTATTACTAATTATTTAATTGCCAGGAAATGTGTATTTAATTTGATTCTTTTGCCTGTATCTTTGCTCTCTGCCTAATTAATTTTAGCCACAGGATCTTATCCTCAAAGTTATAACACCTAAATTTACTGTAATAAAATAAACCCTGCTTTTTAACTTGAAGGAAATGGAGGAGCAACTCTTTGTGCCCTTCGATGTTTGGAAAAGCTTTATGGAGATGAATGGAATTCTTTTACCATCCTATTAATCCACTCTGGTAATGTTATACTTTACTAATTTACATTTTCTTTTAGTATTTTACCCTTGATACCTCAGGGACGTTTTTCTCCCTTACTAATACTTCTTCCTTCTTGTTCTTTTGTTGTGAAGTTAATTCTGCTCTGGAAACAAATATTTCATGTATTTCTTGATATTGTTAGGTTGTTAGTAGCATAATATCTTTCACAAAATTTAACCTTAAAATCGTGGATCACGTACATTATCACCTTTTCATGGATATTGTTCCATTTTCCTACGATAGAACTCATCAAAATATGAACATTTCTTGATAATGCTTTAGAAAGGATTCTTGCTTTAGTACTATGATTACCAGACTTTAGACAAAACCTTCTGTTACACATTTTTATCTAGTTATTGGTGGCCAAAGTCTGTAATCCTTAAGAGTTTAAAAACAAAAGAAAAGGTGATGACAGAACATAGAGTTGACAAAGTATAAAAGAGGGGAAATCACATACAAATAAGATAGTAGAAATATAAGAAAGAAAGAATCTCAGAATAAAGGATAGTTTTCAAATTGGACAAGTTTGGTTGTATTAAAATTTTGGTTGTATGATAGAAACCTCTGTTACTTTCTCTCTGTGTACTGAGGGCTGGTGAAACTTTGTCATGGACCTGCACTGTTCAATTACAGATATTTTAGAACCATTTGTCCACATGGTTACCAAAGCACTTTTCACTTCTTATGATTCACACACAGAACAGTTCTTTTTGAAGATATCAGGTAAAGCATCGAAGTTCTAATTTTAAGTTTAATTTAAAAGGTTAAAAAAAAAAGGCTTACAATTTTATTCCCAAACATTATTATTATTACCAATTTAGTAAAAATTAAGTTAAACACCAGAAAATGTATACAATTGATCCTTGAATAACACAGGGTTTAGGGGTGCTGACTCTTAACACAGTCTGAAATCTGCATATAAGTTCGTAGTTGAACTACTATAGAGGTGGTTCCACTCTGCATATCCACAGTTTCTCATCAGGGATTCAGCGAACCTGGGGTCATACAGTCTTACAGTATTTATTGAAAAAAATCCTCATGTAAGGGGACTGATGTAGTTGAAACCCTTACTCTTCCACGGTCAAATATAATTAAAAATAGGTAATTCTTGTAATGCGAAATTTTACTGTTGGTTAGTATTTGGAAAATGAAAAAGAAAGTACTAACTCTTGTTAGTTGAACAATGTACTCTGAAGTGAGTACTTTACCTCTACTATTGATCTTAAAATAATAATTGTGATTAAAAAAAAACACATTATTCCACATCTGCTGTCTTAGAGTAAATCCAAAGATAAACAATTAAAAAATGGTATACCAGAATTTAAACCCATTTTTGTGTGACTCTTTCTACTATGTCTCTCACTGTAATTATTTACATAGTTACATAAAATGATGTAACAAATCATAGTGTATTTAATGTATTTAAGAGAAAACACTTCTCAAGGAATTAAGTCATATGGCTCATCATTGAGGGAAAAGCCTTTTTAAATTAAAAACAAGTATATATTGTAAAATGCTTTTATATAAACGCACCTTTACTGCTTTTAAATGTAGGTAATAATTTGATGAAAAATGTTGCATCTGGAAGTTAGTCTTTAATAGATAATTATGTATACTGGTTTTTTGGTCACATTGTACCCCCATGAAGTGGATTTTTAATATGGGAGTTTACACATGATTGAAATTTACTGTTTAAAATTTAGATACAAGATCATATTTTTGCTCATTTTCCTTTTTACTTGTTCTGCAGTTGATTCAAAAAAGTGTCATAGCCTGTAAAGCATATTTAGAATTCTTTCCTAGTCTAGAACTGCATTATATCAAATCTTTACAGGAGATTGCTCTTTGAATTTGAAATTTGAAATTTATTATACTTTCCTGGGGTATAGTAATGCATATATTTTAAAAATCTTTAGAGATATTTTGAGTTGTAACTGATGCTCCTACATTTTTAAATCTTACAAACAATCTTAGAAACATTCTAAAACAGTTATTTTTTTAAATTCTATATAGGTGGTTACAGTCAACGCCTTCCAAGTGCGAGTGCTCTGGGGAAAATTTTCACTGCTTTGCCTTTTGGTAGTCCCATTTATCAGATGTTGGAATTAAAACTAGCCATGTACATTGATTTCCCCTCACATATGAATCCTGGAATTCTGATTACCTGTGCAGACGATATTGAACTTTATTGTATTGGAGAATCTGAGTTTATTAGGTTTGACAAACCTGGCTTTACTGCTTTAGCTCATCCTTCTAGTTTGACTGTTGGTACAACACACGGAGTGTTTGTCTTAGAACCTTTTAACCATTTAGAATATAGAGACCTCGAATACAGAAGTTGCCATCGTTACCTTCATAAGCCCAGCATAGAAGAAATGTATGAGTTTGATGCTGTGTGTAGACCTAGAAAATTTTTTCAACAGGGATTTGCTGGGAGTGACATACCCTCTCTTAAATTAGAGGCTGAGTATGTCTACACAGACAGCCTATTTTACATGGACCATAACACAGTGAAAAAGTTACTTGCTTTTTATGAACAAATAGGTACGCTACACTGTGAAATAGATGCCTATGGAGACTTTCTTCAGGCTTTGGGACCTGGAGCAACTGTGGAGTACACGAAAAACACATTAAATGTTACTAAAGAAGAGTCAGAGTTGGTAGACATGAGGCAGAGAATATTTCATCTTCTTAAAGGAACACCATTAAATGTTGCTGTTCTTAATAACTCCAAATTTTATCACATTGGAACAACAGAAGAATATTTGTTTCATTTTACTGGAGATAGCAGTTTGAAGTCAGAGCTTGGCTTACAGTCTATAGCTTTTAGCCTCTTTCCATCGATACCAGAATGCTCTACTAACAAACCCTGTATTATTCAAAGTATACTGGATTCAACATGTTCTGTGAAACCTGGCTCAGTTGTGGAGTATTCCAGATTGGAGCCTGATGTTTCAGTTGGGGAAAATTGCATCATTAGTGGTACTTATGTCAAAACAACAGCTGTCCTGCCTGCATATTCTTTTGTGTGTTCCTTAAGCTTGAAGATGAATGGACACTTAAAGTATTCAACTATGGCATGTGGAGTGCAAGACAACTTGAAAAAGAATGTTAAAACATTGTCAGATGTAAAGTTACTTCAGTTCTTTGGGGTCTGTTTGCTGTCATGCTTAGACATTTGGAATCTCAAAGTTACAGAGGAACTATTCTCTGGAAACAAGTCATGTTTGAGCTTGTGGAATGCTCGTATTTTCCCAGTTTGTTCTTCTTTGAGTGATTCAGTGACAACATCCCTAAAGATGTTAAATGCTGTACAGAACAAGTCAACATTCAGCCTGAATAACTATAAGCTGTTGTCCATTGAAGAAATGCTTTTCTACAAAGATGTAGAAGATATGATAACTTATAGGGAGCAAATTTCTCTAGAAATTACTTTGAATAGGAAGCAGTCTGATTTAGAGACATCTTATTAAATATTGTATTGGAGAAGGAAATGACAGCTCACTGCAATATTCTTGCCTGGAAAATCCCATGAACAGAGGAGTATCATGGGCTATAGTCCATGGGGTTGCAAAGAGCTGGACACGACTGAACTTCTGAGCACAAATATTGTATATTTTGCCGTTCTTGACTGAGCAAGATTGCAGATGCAGGAGTTTTCTGTAGACTGTTGGTTTTTAATAGAAGTGAATTAATGAAAATTATATTAATATGATTGATGTAGCATAACATTAATAACAAAAATATAAACAGTTTTATAGTGAAAATTAATATTGTAGGCCTGTAAGTTCAGAAAAATGAGTTTTTAAAGTTTTATCACTATTTTAACTTTTCTTTTATAAAGATGGATTTGTGGAATGTTATTTATTCACAGAGTAGTAGAACAGTCTTAAAGGTGATTTTCTGAACATACCTTTAAAATTTTTCATCTTCTTTTGGACTTTGGTTACAATGAAGTTCTAAGTATTCACTGGCAGTTTTCTCCTTAAGTGCATTAATTCTATTCTGGTGAACTGTTATAAGCATGCCATACTATAGGGTCTTCAAAACACTGTAGAAATGATGTAGAAGTACTTTTGCAGAAACAAATCTGTGGCAGACAATCAGATAAAATCAATGCTTAAACTATTGTGATAGTCTTAATTAAGAAGTACAAACTGTTCTGAAATTGATGATAAAAATCTCTTTTATTAATCTTATCAAAATGAAGCCAAAAGGATATATGTGCTGTTTTATCCTTATAAACTTGAACCCATGTTTGTGTATCTTAAAAATTTTCCCCAGAGTTTCATCTATAGGAAAGCATACATACACATAAAACTCAAGAATCTGTATAGGAAAATGTTGGAATAGTTGGGATTCCCTGATAATCATATAAATTCATTTTGGATATTATCTTCATCCTCCCTTATTAATCCCTTAACAGAACCATTAAAATTGCCAGGTGGACAGATTTTTACTTTTCATTTTTTAATTTTCTGACCATGCACTAGTAATGATACTGAGACGCAGTAAATGGCCAAAAGGTAGACAGCAGGAAGGAGCTAGAAAAACAGAATGACTGTGAAAATATACAGATAATTAACAGCTTCAAGACAATAAAAGTTGGCTGGAACTCTAAGCACTGTGTTCTTATTTTGGTATAGGCACATATTTGAAATGTTTTCATACCAAAGTCTAATACTAGAGAAAAGTTTTTCAGAAGTTTTGTGTTTTAACATGAATAAATTGAAATAGAACTGGTCTGTGTCACTGTTATTTATATGTCAGTATAAAATTAGCATATCAATATGAAAATAATTGTTTGTTAAACCAGAAGTGACTTATCAGCAAGTCTCAATTATGACATGTGTATTTTTTTTCCAAGATTCTTCTCAAGGGGAAAATAAAGATATATGGTAGCTGTTGTTTAGCAATTACTGATTTACTTGCAGAGATTTCAGAGGATGTTATGTGTCATTCATTAAAAATTCATTGCT